GGGGTGAGGGAATGAAACAATCACTATTGTACATTATAAGTACTTTGTACTATCGTTAGACACATTTATTTGATTCTTTCATGGTGGAAATGCGCTATAATATAACGGTAATGTATGACAGTGTTTTATCATCACCGACAAATGGAAGGCCCAAGTGGACTTTCACCTTTGCTCCTGCATAATATCCATAATTAGGTGAGTGGTTGGAGGGCATCACTGACTGGCCAGTCCTGCTTCTTTTCATTTCTTCTGTTGTGCCGATGGGAGCGACTGCCTGTCTGTCTCGCTTTTCACCAACAATACGTGACCGTTGCTGTGTCGGTGCGCTTCTCTTTACTAAATTTTAACTCAGTGGCTATTCGTTTCTTCAGTTCTAATCCTCAAGCTTTCTTGGAAAGGACATTAGAAGTGCAGTTGAGTTAAATTCATGCTTCAGTTTTTAGAAGCATCACTGCTTTAGTTGTGTCGATAAAAAACAAATATATCAAGGGTTGGTTTTTTTTTTGGAAAAGAAGTAACATTATTTTGGAGTTCAGTGAATTAATATACGAGATGTACTTTTCTTTTTTCTTTTAAAAGCATCATCAAAACTTCGGGGATTTTAAAACAAAAATCATTGTTTCTTTTGTTTTTCTTTTTTTCCTTTTTTTTTGGTTGGGGGGGTTAACTTTAACTCTTAACTTTAACTCGCTCTGATACTAATAAACAGGGGTTGATGGTTGTTTCTTTGTTGTTGTTGTTGTTGCTGCTGCTGTTTTTTAGAAGCACTTCGTCAAATTACAACGGAAGTCCAGTAACGGTTGCCTCATTAAAGCAGCAATCAGCTGTCTATTGCCGCTGTACAAACGAATACGGTTAATAAATATTTAAGGGGCCTTTGGATATATTTTTTTGTCGAGACTAAGTTGTATAAGCCTGAATTGTCCTTCGATTCTTACACGTTATCTATTTTTTAGAAATTCTTCATCCGTTAATTCTTTTTTGGTTGTTCTTTTTATTCTTTATTCATTTTTTTTGGTTTGTTTTATTCTTTACTAATTTAGATTCTTTGTTTTCTTTATTCTTTACTTACTGATATTTCAAATACTCTTTTCATGCTCTATTGTTATATCTTTTCTGTTTTCATTCTTTAGCTATTATAATTCTCCACTTATTTTTATTTCATGATTATATCTATTCGTTGTTTCCTATTCTTCACTTCGTTTTATTTCTCCTTTATAAAAACTTATTTCTATTCTATTGATATATACACTCTTTACTAATATGTATTCTTTACTTCTCAATATTGTTCTTTATTGCCATTCTATATAACATTATTTATTAGGATGCTTTACTCATTCTTATTCTCGTGAGAATGCGAGTTCGGGGGTTCGAGCCTCAGCTCGGTCGACGTTGTGTCCTTGGGAAATGCACTTTACACGAACTTCCCTCTTAGCTCGGTCCTATCGGAGACGGACGTTAAACTAGGAGGTCCCGCCCCTTAAATAATCTAATAATATTGATAGGGGCGTTAAACCTTTTTTTTTCCATTCTTATTCGTCTTGCTAGATATATAAATGCTCTATACCATCAGATGATGATTCGATAACTTCAAACAGGGACCATTGGTTTTGATGACGTCAAATCCTGAATGTTAGACAATAAACCCCAGCTTAACGAAGAGAAAACAGGTGTGCATAAATGTGCAATTTAAAGGGTCTAAAATCTGTTGATGTAGAGTACTATGAACAAACATGTTTTCAAAAATCCAAAAATCTAGTAGTGTTTTATGACTTAAAATTGTCTACGAACGACCATATCAGATTTCTCATTAAAATTTATTGTGCACTGCGTAAAATTGGACAATTGTCAGTGTTCTTGATTAAATGCTCTACCCCCCCCCCCCCTACTTCATCTTTTGTATTCTCTCCCATGGATATCTACAACTCTCTCTCTCTTTGAAAACCTCCGGAACATCACCGTCTTGAAAATCCACCGCTTTTA